ATGGCAAATGCTACAGAACTGTACATTAATATTTCAAAAGGATAATCATTGAATGAGGGAATCATATTCCATTTTTTGAACCACTTCAAAAGGCCGTGTCAGCAGTTCTGTGCTAATTGTCACCTTTCCCATTTCCAATAACATTATGCTCCAAACCAAAAGAACAGGAATAGCCTTCCTCTGTAAGGAGAACCCTAAATTCAGCTGAGATTAAAGGGAATCATCTCTGCAATGACAGCTGAATTTCCCTGTGCCATCTCCCTCATGTACATGTCAGAGATACAGGAAGAGTCCAGCTCTAAGATGCCACAAGGCCATCTGCATGCCTTTGAAGTGCTTTCTTGCACTTTATATTTTTAAATGTGTGAGTCACAAACAGGTGAAAAAGTTGGCTAATAATGCCTTTCTCTAATAGCTGTTGGTTAATATTTCATCTCTTTCCTTTTGATTTGATTCAAGATGATAACCATAAACATCTTCTGTAGTGTATTAGCATTGAGTGGAATGATTTCAAGAGAGACTGAATTTCTTAATAAATAAAATAGTTTTCTGTTTAAAAAGTGAAAAAAGTGGGTCAGCCTGTAAAAGAATAATGCACTGAGGTTTGGTTCATTCAAATTTATTTTGCCTCGATATCTCAGAGGGTTCTCTCTCAGAGGGCACATTTAAGTTTTAAAATAAGAAATAGAAGCTTGTGACTAATTGCTTTCAAATAGTAGAATGTAAGCATGACTTCTGAGATGTTCAGTACTTTCACATCATCACAACATATAAACTCTTAGAAGCCTGGAGGTTTCCAAATAACTGGAAAGAAGGAAAAAGAAAAACCCACACTGTACACAGTATGAAATTCTAAAGCTACCCAGGGTAAATATGTTTCCAGCTGATCATTACCCATATTTCTCAGAAGTATAAGTGAAATTATACTGTGGTATTTCAGAAATTAACATATCACATCTGCTTGACAATAGATATCTTAATGTACTACATCAGCATCAACGATGCTGAGGGAATAGCAAATTTTTTAGGGCTGAATAATTATTCCTAGAAAGCAATTTTGAAACCACATAAGAGGTATCTCCCTTCTCCCTTCCCTCCTCTTCCTCCAGTAATAAAATTTATCATTAAAAAAATGAAGAGGAGAAACCTTTTTTGCTCAGAATTCATGTAATCAAAGAATTTCTTGGGTTGCCATCAAAATACCCAAAGATACAACATAACCCAACGCTTCACCCACTCTGAGAGTCCAGTTTTTCAAATATCCCTCTTGAATATGTCCCATCTGAAATTATGCAGGATTTCTGCAGTCTTTGTCTTGCTTTTATATATAAATATATAAAAAATATATATATATTCAATAAACTGAAGCTCATGTAATTCCCACATTATGTGATGTGACAAAACACCTTGGAATTACTTTTACTCCATTGTGTATTTTTTTTCTCTGATTGAGCAGAAATTTTTCTTTCCAAGCACTAATATACTTCTGGTTGAGAAAGTCATGTGAACACATGGATAGCAAGGAAAAAAAGATCACAGTGATCTAAAACATTAAACTATTTTTATGAGGCATTTTGATGAACACCAGCAAGAGACATAATGTAATTATTGTGGCTATTAGGCTGTTATTTATGTTAAAAGTGTGGCTCTTGTTGGCTTCAGAAGTGTTTTAGGTCTACAACACTCTTGAGAGTCTATCAAATGTACTGGCAGATGCAACAAGTAAGAGAATGAGGCAATAGCTCACTGCTGTTACAATATGAAAACTAAATATGAAATAACTACATTTGAAAAGGAGAAATACAGGGCACTAAGGCTAATGGCATGAATGTAATAGAAAGAAGATATTGTGTAGGAAAATCAAAGGCAATGTTGCCATACATTTTCCTGTCTCCTGTTATTGTCTAATATCAAGTTAATTTCTTCTATTATAAAAGTGTTAAGAAAATTCAGCAGTGAAATACAGCATCATGAATAAATGAGACACACAGGAGCAAATGAAGGATATAGCCCAGAAAATACTGTTATTGTCTCTCACTGTGTCAATATTATCACAGACTTATTCAGTCACTTGTGGTTCAAACTGAAAATAAGGTTCTCTAATAGCAGCATCAGGTTTCAGGCAGCTTAAATCAGGAATTCCTTCAATGCTACAGAGCTGTAACCCAAAAGTGCAAGAGGAAAAACATCAAAACAAACCCTGTCCTTGCTACATTTCCAGAAAAAAAACATAGGAAAGGGGAAATTGCCAAGCAAAGCTCACCCATGATAAAGTTATTTGGAGATAAGGCAGCAAATGATCATATCCAGACATTAAGGTTCTGCTCAGAGATGGCCAAGCTTTGTCTATAATTATTTTTCACTTGGTTGAATCAACAGCCTCATTCCTGCCATAAGCACAGAGAACAGCAATGTAATGGAATAATCAACATTTAGACCCAAAACTATAAACAGGAATAAAATATTTTAAGAGGATCACGACACCCATTAGTATCACATCAGAACATCTTGGTTAATGCCTCCACAGCAGCTATGGACAGAGGAAAGCACTATCAATCATGTTTTGCAAATGATGAAAATCCAATAAATCTTTATCTTCAGCCACCTCAACAATTATCCAAGCCCATCCCACCTGGCATGTTTCCAGTCCAACAGCAAACACAGAGGAAGAACTGTCAGGAATCCACATCTTCCACTTTTGGCTATTCTTCTTTTTAATCATCACCAGCACAGCAAGATGCTCCATCCCAGGTACAATGAGAAACAGCACCAATCCAAGAAAACTCAGCACTTCTTAATCTCACCTTTCTTTTCTATTCTATTCCATTCTATTCTATTCCATTCCATTCTGTTCCATTCCATTCTATTCTGTTCTATTCTATTCACCTCAGCACTGGTTAAGAAAAAGAAAGTTCAGCCAACTTGTGAAGGAAATAAGTAAAGGATGGCACATACCAGGATGTACCTCCCTGATTCAATCAGTGTTTAAGTGTTTCCCAAGTCACATTTCCAAGCCACTGGTTAATTCCCATCACACCATTTTCTATTTGGTTTTTTTGGTCACCTGCTTGACGCCAGAGGTGCGGAAGATTGATGCTTCACAGGGAAGAACAGAAGTGCTGTACAGATGCTACAGGTAGTAAACCCGTCTAATAATCTCATGGGTCAGCACTTAGAGTGTTACAAAATTATTATTGCCCAAGAATGAAATCAGAAGAACTGGGGAGAACTTTGTAATTGCTTCACCACTAAACTGCAACACCGTCGCAAGCATAATAAGCAAGGCGCAAGAACTTTAAATCATATTTGACAGATGGGCTTAATTAGTTATTCTCATACAGACTCACAATATTTGCTGTTAATATTCCTCCTAAAACACCCTGCTGGCTGTGATAATATTTATATGTTAATCCTGTTACGATAAGCTTTCGGTGCCAAAACCTCTCCCAGTAAAATGAGGGAGATATTTCCAACCCCGCCAAGGAAACGGCTCCGGCGTTCGGGTTCAGTTTGTCACCCCCACAAGTGCCTCCTTAACCCGTGAAATTACACCTGTCACAGTGAGTCAGCTTTATTAACACTATTTTCTGATCCGTGTAAAACCATCAGAAACACGAAGGTATTGAATCTTTAGTTAATTAACATTGCCACCTTTGCATCCACGTGATCGGATCTCTGATTTTTAAGGGGAAATTAAAGAATATGCAAACAGAGTTTGTCTAATTTCAAAGCAAACTATGGAAGCAAGTCATCTGGTAAGAGACACCAATATTTAACTGTTATCCATTGTGCCCATTTGGTGGCATCAAACATCAACAGAGTTTCCCCAAAAATATTGAGCACACTCTCTTTCCCCACATGATCCTTGAGCTTGCTCCTTAAAATGAATAGCAAAGGAGATTAAATTTAATGATGAAAAAAACACAGTGAATAATATATTGCAAATATTTTTCACTCGTTTGCAAACTGTGAGGAAGTTATCAAAAGTGAGAAAACCACAAAATCTCAACTGGGAACTCGGATGGAACAAGTCAAACCACAAGTTACAGGGGAGTTACACACATACCCTGTTTTCACTTGATTTTCCTCCCAGTAAAATCTGATATGTATATGAGCTCATATTTCTTTTAACAAGCAATGCTTATACTCAGCATGTGCAAATACACAGAAGCCACAACCACTGCATGAAAAGTGGCATAATAATTTATTTTTCTGTGTACAAGGGGTCATTTTGAAGGCTTGCCACTGAATGATGAATAGTGAAGGGAAGTAAGCTGCCAAGATTCAATTCCCCCATGAGCTTGCTTTATATTTTCCTGCTGAGGAAGAGAAATCAGGCAAATGCACTCCATGGGCCCAACAAGATAAAGTGTGATGGAAAACTCATTGTTGAAATAATCTTTGATTTTGATCCAATGCCCATTTCAGTCAATGAAAATATTCACACTTGCTACAAATAGCTTAGAACTGTGATTTTAAAGAATCTGCCTGACAGATTGTGCCAGACAGTAGGAGGCTCTGACCTTGGCATACATACACATTGCTTCTTTGACCAATGAAATTCAGTCAGGTATGAGACAATATATGGTTTAGACGAGAAAAAATCAGGATACTCTGGCAGAGGAATTGTGTAGAATCTGAGTTATAATAAGGAGAAAGTGATTTATGCCATGATTATGGAAGTAAATTTTTTCCTTCCTCTTTTTTTTTTTTCAAACTAGTCACAACCAAATTGTAAGATATAAGAGTTCTTCTAAATAATTTGTGAAAACAGTATTTCCTGTTGATTTTTAATTGGAGTATTAGCATTGAGTAACATTCTGTTCAGAGTATATGTGGTAGAATGAGCAATGCAGTACAAAATAAAAAGACAGCCACAGCTTTTCCCAAAGCATTTTCCTCATCCACCACAGTAAAACTTATTAAAATCATGGCAAAATGCTTTGAGAAGGGAAAACAACTGTCAGTTATTAAAAGAAATACTGCTGGAAATTACCTACCTGCTTTCAGAGGCAGCAGATTTCCTCTGGCAAACAATAACAGCTGGTGCATATTTCCCAGTATAATCCATGCTCTCTCTGATGTCCCACAAGTAGGGGCTGCTGGCTCTCACACTGAAAACATTCACACCTTTCTTCACCTTTGCCCTAGGAGAACAAGAAGATGTTTAGATAGAAAATGTCAGCTTGATCTGTTCCTTTTCCCTTCATTATGTTCTCGTTGCTGCCCCACAGAAAACGCCACCGCTCATCAGAGTTCGACAGCGGGACAAGGGAGGGAGATAAGGGAATTAATTAAGAATTCCATATTTTGAAGAAATGATATCAAGACAGAAATCTGATTGAACTGATGGTAATTACAGCTTTATTCATGGTGAAATTACAGGGTAGATGTGTTCTGGAGAACACTCCTCACTCCTGCTCTGCCATTACCCCCACTGTGGGCACCACTGAGCGTGCTGAGGGTCTCTCTTGGCTACAGGTTATTGTATAGGAGAAGAAAGCACCATTTTTATTGTAAAAGAAGTCAGGTTGTTGCTCCTCTAGTGAGGAGTCATTGCTAGGCCTCATATTACAAGCAAAATATACCCTTTTTCTCCTCCCTCTGGATTACTCAACGATGACATTCTGTGTCTTTTCATCGTCTTTTTGAGCCCACAACATTTCTTCATTTTAATACTGTTGGGTTAATTGTTCTGTCAGCTCTGAACCTAAAAATACTTAGAAATATTCTTATTTTTCCTAAACCAAGTGATTTCTTTGGAGGTCTGTCTAACCTATAAACAATGGGCTAAACAACAGGAAAAGCTGTATGGCAAACTGTTACCCCCATGACAACTGGACTGGCTCCTACTGAGAAGTACTTAGTATGTGCTTAGCATAATTCTTCTGGGTTTGATTATTAAAAAAAATAACAACCAGAATAATAATCAGAAGTTATTAGCCAGAAGTGGAGAAGAGGAACTATATAGAGAGAGATACACTTTTAAATATCTGTTTTAATTCCTGTTGGAAGGTGTTGCATTCCCTAATTCTGCCTCTCTCTTTACCTAAATATGTATCTTAAGGCAGTATTGAATTAGTCCACAGGTATAAAATGTTGGCCAATATACTGAATTAGGAGTTTCTGGTGTTGTTAACTTTTGGTTTCTGAACATGTTTATGAGAAACCCATTGTGGTCAAACAGCCTGCTATGTCAGCTGTCAGGAAATGACAGTTTAATTATATTTGCTTAAAATCTCATGCACAAAATCCATTCAGTGCTATGGCAAGTTCTCAATTCTGGGCAAAAAAACCCAAAAAGGTATGTGATTTTTTTTTTGTATAAACAGCTGCTGCCATGCAGAGTTGGTAATATCAGTAAAACAAGCAGCATCAGCTCTGCCTCCACATGAAATTACTAGTGGAAGTTTTGAAGGACAACATCCACACAGATGTTTTCAGAATAAAAAACCAAAGAATTCCTTCAACTGCCTCAAACAAAAGAGGTTATATCTCATTTCTTCTACCACTAACTCAATAGCAGTGGCTGTAAGTTCTTTAGCACACCTGGAAGAATAAATACACGAAGGCTGCCAATTTTTGTTCAAGTTCTTCTATGCTAATTTCACGAAATGAATTTTAAGCAGGTGCAGTTACTGCTGCTAAACCGCAGACATCCCTCAGGACAAGAGATCAATGGTCAAAGAAGAGTGGAAATTAAACTGCATTCCTGGTGTCTCAAGAGGAGGAGGCAGAAAAAGGCCACACAATCTGGATGAAACATTTTTCAGCATATGTCTTTGGCTGTTCCTGGTGACCAGCATCCAGTCCTGCCTTTCTGTTCCACCTCAAAGAAAGGAAAACTGTTGGGTGTCAGCTAAGACCAGTGATGGAAAAATTATTCCCACTTCACAGGGAAATGAGGTGGCTGAGATCCTTCCAAGCTGAGCTGGCTGTGATTAAGAAACTCACCCCCACCCTCTTCCAGCTCTGTGAAGGGGTTGCTGTAGTTGGTGATGGCCAAGAGGAGGTATCAGTGTGGGATTTGGGTGACCTAACTGAGTTTATGGATTTGAAAACCCTCAATGGAGCCAACTGGCTCCAGGGCAGGACAGCACCCGAGCCACTCACAGGCAGACACTGCTGGATGAGGGGCTGGTTTCATTTCACAAAGTCTGGAGCTTCTGCTGTAAGGTTGGCCCCCTCAGCCTTTCAACAACAGATTATATTGACCACACAACAGCTATGCTTTTATAGGTTTTATTAACAAAACTGGTAGGGAATCGAGAAAAAAGCAGCCTTAGCCCAGAGCACAGCCTGCCTTGCTCAGCTGGCACACAGGCAATAGCTGTACTGCAGCTGAAAAAGCTGTGCAGGGTCTCAGTACAGCTCAGCAAACAGTTACACACCGAAAATTGAAATTTCTCACTTATATCTTAAAAAACATTAAAAACCAGATTAAAATAAGAGCACAAACGCAGACACGTAACTGATACCATCCTCTTGTTTTCTATCTGGATTCCTTTAAATGCCAGGGTGAGAAGGTAAACCAGAAAAAGGGACACAAAGCCAGTAGGACAAGCTGAGTGTGTTTATCCTTGACATTCACTTCATCCAGTGACAAACTGCCATCCTGCACTAATTTCTGAGGTTTCAAACAAATGCAGATTCTTGTGTACTGCTCTTTGGGGTAATTGCCAGTCTGTGGATCAGGATTTCTTTGAAGAGATAAGGTCTAAGTTAGTCACCTGTGAAAAGCACCAACCCCCTAATTTTACTGAAAACAGTAACACAAGATTGTTTCTTTCTACAGAATTAGAAGTTAGGAACTCCTTTTGAGGAACCAGACTAATATACTTCTATAATTAGCACAGAAGCTTCAATTCCTCGACCCCAGGAAATGTTTTTTTCCTCCAGTATGTCTCAATGCTGTGTTTTCCACTGTTGGGCAATTGCAGAGTTTTATTCACCCAATTTACAATGGCAGCAGCATTTTGCAATTACCGAAGAATGACCTGGGTGAAACAGGGTTAATAATAACTGAAGGTATGTCTTTTGCCAACAAATAAAACTGAAGATACCTGAGGTGAAAAGACTATGACTGCTGCCAGAGCTCAATTACTTTCTTGCAAATCTGCTTTATTGAATTGCCTGGCTGTCACAGGGCACACGGGGTCTTCGACCCCTCAGCTGCTCTCCAGACTGCTCATGAGGCAGCCTCTCAGTTCAGCCACAGTTCAACCTGAGATTTCTCAGCTGCAACACACAAAAAAAAAGGTGTATGACAAAGCTTTTTCATATATTTGCTCACACTTAACAGCCTAAGTACAACAGATTGTGCATTTGCTTTAAACACCGTGGCAGAGCTGCAGCAAGTAAAGTTGTTTGAGTATTTTGTGCTCAATTTGTGTGAGATTCTACTTTGCGAAGAGGAGGAAAGAAAGGCTGCAAACATTTCAGTCGTGGGCTGGTCTTGGGTTGTTTCTTTTCTAACAAGCAGCCTATCCAAGTAAACACTTCCATAGGTATTCCTACAAGCTGTTATTTACCTCTGGATCACTGCTCACAGCGCAGCACATCAGTTACTGAGGCTCCTGAGTAGCTCAGCCCTTGCACCAAATCAATCGTGGCAAACAAAGCCCTTGGGAGTCCACAACCCCTGAAAACACGTCAGTGCTGACAGGGTACAAGTCAAGGGAAGGGAGAAAGAAAAAAAAAACCGCTGAAGGAACTCCCAGGATCAATACATCACAACTGAAATCAAGGAAATACATTACCTAAGTGCATAAAGATAGTGATTCCCAATTCTATCTCATGACCCACTAAACACTATGTTTACTCTGGTGATAGAAGAGGCTGCAACTCCAATTAAAATGCAGGCAATGTCCTCTCTCATTTATCAAAGTGTCTGGTTTAGCATCTCCCAGTCTTTGCAGTTTACAACCAGTTAGCGCTTAGCTTTCAGCCCATGTCATTATTGCAGGCTGGTAATGGCTGTGAAATTGTTACTTAAGTGTTGTATAAAGTGGAACAGCTGGCTGGTGAAAAATAACAGCATTACAGCCCGCGTGCTGCTAAGTGCCACGGTACAATGTCACAAAGTGTCTGGTTTGAAGCACCGCAGGGAAAGGCAAAGACGACAGAGAGATCACACACACAACCTCGCCCTCGGGACGTGCGAGAGATCAAAGCCAAGGAGTGCGGAGGGGCCACGGACACCCTGCCACAGGCAGGACTCCCCTTTCCACATCTCACTCCCGACAATGTCCTGCACGCAGCGCAGAGACATCACACATCCCTCCAGTACAACACAAAGCGCAAACAAACAGGGAATCCAACCCTTAAACAGCTCTAAATAAAGATGCTTTAGACCCATGACATTGGATTTAGGGGTTTTTTTATTACTGTAAGTGCTCAGGGCAAAGACCTGCGGGAACCTTTCATGCTCCTTCCGAGGAAGCGGAATACTTTCGACATCAAAGGGATGAGAAGAAAAGGGAGGCTGTTAACAGAGGTGCTACCACCGGGTATCATCTTGTCACCAGCGGTGTCTAGAAGGTGGCAGATAAATCGTGTGCAGAGGGGGACGTTTCTGAGAGCTTCTAGGCACTGCACAGGCACTGCAGTGGGCTCTGAATTTGCCTTGTCACCATATCTGCCCAAAGCGTTCCAGAAATAACTCGAAGGGGGTTCTATTTTTGTTTATCTTCAGTGCTTTTTTTCCTGCCCAGAGCCTAATCTTAACCCAGCGATGGAGAAGGAACAAAGCAGTGCTCAGCTGTACAGGATGGCAGCCTTCCCCTTGCTAATGTCCACCTCCTTTGGACAGCAGTGACAGAAGTAAGAGGGGTGAGAGAGGCGTTTTTCCCCCACCAGCCCATTTCAAACTGAAGACGAGAAAAATGTGAGCAGAAATGGGCCTGACCAGAGCTTCTCATGTCATGAAACAAAGAAATCAGGGTCAGTTTTTACTCACTGGAAAGTCAAGTGCTGATCTAAGTCAGCAGCAAAACACTCCCTGCAAGAAACCCTGAAAGTATTCACATTCCAATGGCCAATGTTGCCCAGAGCCCATTTCTGCTGATGACTATGTCATGGGCTGCTCTTCACACAGGCTCTTTCCACTGACATCACCTCTTGATCCAATAACAAATTACTGCTGCTG